GTATCAATCAAAGTTGTTGTCAATGTGGTGAAGGAATGCGGTGAACAAGAAAGCAGAAAGTAGCAAGTAGCAATCTACTTCAGGATATTTTTGGATAGCTTTTATGATAATTTTGGGTAATGCTTTTTGAAATGTCAAGCTAAAAGTTTTCAGATTCAACCTTAAATGGAAAAAACTAGAAGAATAAACGATCTTGTAAAATTCTTGTTGTCCTGTACTTCAGGAATCTTACATGGAATTGCAAAGGCTCACCTCAGAGCATCAAGCAAGCTCCCGATGTAAGCATGCAAATATTCAATTCGTGGCGTGTCATTTAGTGTTCCATTGCGACGCGTCATCTGACCTGCAAAAGCAACTCAAACCAGGATTTTCCTAACTAAATTGTCTAATCTGGTTAAAATAAAAAAACTTATAAAAAAAATAAAAAAAGTAGAACTCCAGCACATCAATTTTTTTCAATCAGAAAATTGTATGGATGGAAGCCTAATAAATTACAAGGAATAATGCAATCTACTTCACAATTGTTATCTGCAGAATAATGATTCTGTTATATCAATGAAGCAACGTGCCCCCAAAATTCAATCAACAAACTCTCGAAGCTGGGGCCAAACATCAGTTAAGGATAGTGAATAAAAATGATATTTTCTTTGTGATTTTGCAAAAATATCTCCAAGCTCTGTGAAGAGGATCCTTAACGCTGGGCATGAAGGACTACGACGATAAAGTAAAACTTTAACATAGTTGGAGTATAAATGGATATAGAGGATACACAACAACCAAGAGCATGCATCAAAGGAGGAAATGGATAATCTTATACTCAAGGTCTCAAAGCATTTGGTAAGGTGTTGAGAAAATGGAAGTAGGGTATTTCAATATGTTCATTGATTTGCAGTGACTTTCTTGTTAAGTCAAACTCTCAATTACCATCTCGGGTGAAGGCTTTTGGTTCATTTTGCCTAGGCACTGACCTTTTTTTTGGGACAAGGGTGGTAACTTCCTTCATATAATTGCCAAAAAACAATGTAAACAAAACCACCGCATAGAAAAGCACAAATGCATGTGTAGACACACTGTGTTGACATGTGTTTATGTGTATGTGTGTATAGAGAGAGAGAGAGAGAAAGAGAGAGAGAGAGAGAGAGACCATTTTCATGGATATAAACAGGCTGATTTCCATAAACTTGTTTTAGATACTCCAGCACTCCATAAAGACCAGAAGGCAGCACGGGATACTTAGCAACACAAAAAATTAAATTTTTAGAGTCAATTATTAATAAAAAGAACAAATATACATTGTGAAGTTATTTAGAATCACCTGATCTTGTGGTGTGTCACCCTGTTGCTCTACAGCAACCCGAAAACAAGACAGGTTTAGTAAATATAGCATAACTACAGCACTAGTCAATTAATTGGACTCAGAAAATTATGACTTTCTACAATCCCAAGTAAGGAGCAACATTTTCTTAAGGAAAGAATACTAATGGAAGCTAAAATTAAACAGGTAGAACAATAAGCTTTAACAACACGAGAAACAAAACGATGCGGCAATTAAGCCAGTGAATCTATTCAAATTGACTCCGCAACAGGTGATTCTGCATTAACAAGTTTGCATTCAATAAAGCATGGAAGTCATACTTATTATCTGTGCAGACAGGTCGGCAGAAAATCCACTGTTGTCTGTTTCAAGGATGCCGGGATTATCCTTGACGAACGCTGTTGTATAGTGGTTCACTCCTATGAAGTCAGCTGAACCCTTAATTTGCTCGGATTCAAGTTTGGTGAAGGTTGGAATTCTTGTCTGGGCATTTTTCTTTACTGTCTCAGGATAGTCTCCAAAAATCAGGGGATCAATTAACCTGCAGTACACATTGAACATTAAACTCGGCATGTCCAGAAAACTTTCTCGACTCCCATATCAGCTTATTGTTAGACCATTCTAGCTAATTCTTGAATAGTAAATTTAGAAACTATTCAGAGTTTCAACTTACCACCCGATAAAAAAATCATTAGCTCTTTGAGTTGCAATTAAATCTTCTGTTGCATTGGTGTAGGGTTCAAACCACATAGTATAGATGTTAAATCCCACATAACCTTTTTGGTCGGCCTGTATTTGAACACATTATTCCCAAAATACACACATGCATAAATGCTGAAACACTCGCAAACACATATGCCTCTTTTGTTACATTTCTCATATTGATTACTGAGTTTTTGAAAACAAAATATATGCAGAGAATTTAGAAACAAATCTATGCAAATGCAAGGAATTAATTACTCAAAGTTAGTAGACAAATTAATCAATACCAAAGAAAGATTTATTAATCAGAACTATTGAAAGCACGTATGATACCTTGTATTTGGCTCTATACAGTCTCACAACAGCTGAATGTGCCAGCAAGATATTATGCCCCACAATGTATGTTTCAATTGAGGTATTACCCCAGGAGCACCTTGTTCTGTCTGAACAGCGCCCTGGGGCAATGACACCTTGATCATAACCACCCACGGCAAAAATATTGGCCTCGTTAACGGTAGTCCAGTACAAAACCCTGTCACCAAATTCCCTGAAGCACACATCCGAAAATGCCTTGAAGTCCTTCCTGAGTCACAAACATCCTAGGTTTCTTTTATGTCTATATGTCAAGAATGTAGAAGTAGCAAAAGATGTACACATATTACAATTATGTTAGTAATAAACATACACAATCTTCCTACTAAGCCATCCTCCATACTCGTCTTCGAGTGCTTGTGGTAGATCAATATGATTTAATGTAATATGTGGTTGAATTCCTGTATGATGACAAATTTTTTAACTTGGAAGCAGTGAGAGATAAATCTTTGATGGACTGACTATAGGATAGAATGCATTTCCTATAAGAAAGAACATAAAATTTGTAGGAAATTCCATAATCACCATAGCATATGAGTTCATCGATAAGATTGTTGTAGTAATGTAACCCCTTTTGGTTGATAGGTCCTCTTCCATCTGAAAAGACAGTAGACCATATGAATAAAAGAAAAATATGTTTTTTTCTTTGAGCACGGCATGATGCAAGTGAACATACTAGGAATAAGTCTTGTCCACGATATGGAGATTCTGAAGGCCTCCAAATTTGTGTCAACCATCAGTTGGATATCATCCTGCATGATGAGGTATAATTCCCGGGGTTCATGTTTAAATAGCTATGTGAAAAATGTTCAGAAGACAAACTTGACACGATCCAGATATTTCTCAGTCTTCGATCAGGGAAGAATTCAAGAAAAATGTGACATGCACTCAAAAAGGTTTTTCCTATATGAATGAAAGACTGCAATGCTAAACACCTTCACTAAATACACTAAATGATAGAGAAGTACCCAGTGCATCCCACCTCGGAAAGCAGAAAAGTTCAAAGGAAAAACCAAAGAAATCCCTGAATCTGCTAGCAACGGAGCAATCGATGGGGGTAGCTAACCATGCCTGTAGGAGTCTTGGCTAAATTTACAAATGATAATCAAATCTTCAGGTTCATGGAATAATGTCCATACAAGTGTGCAATTGTTGCTCGAGGGGAAAGGAAACGATGAAAGAGAAAGAAATGTATGTTAAAATTAGAGCTTCAGCCGTGTGTACACCTTGTATTTGTGATATCCATCACATGCTACATCTCCGTTGGCTCCATTTGTATGGCCTGAAATTTTTAAATAGGAGGATATATTCAATACAGTGACATTCAAATCAATGATTTACATCATAGAATCTACTCCACTATTAGCAGCTCTGTGCACTAGAATCTGAGAACAGACCATTTCGTTCATTAATTATGAAAAAGAAGCCTTTTATGCTTCTATAAAAAAATAAAAGAAAGAAAGAAATACCATGCTTTTTGCCATTACAAGGAGTTTTTCCTCCTTTTGTTTGTGCAGAGTGGTATTTCCAAAATAGCGAATTGAAGAGCCATAATCACGGGATGTCAGGAGTAGGCAATTACACTTTATTTCTTTTGTTCGCAATGATAGAAATTTTTTGTGGATAAGAAAAACCACTCCATAGTCACTAATGAGTTTGTAGAATGCAGATTAAGGCATTAACATTTATGAAACACTTTTGGCTCAAAAACATCATGACAAATGTGCCTTACAATTTATAATTATCAGATCATTTTGATCAACATTGAATCCTCTTCAATGATGCAATAGATTCTTCCGTTGGAATATTTATGAAAATATTTTGCTAAACACTGAACCATTTTTAGTTATCGAACTGGTGCAGCAGCTTTTCTGCCTGATTTTTATTTCCTTCAACGATAAACTATCTCTGCATATCGTGTTCAATGAACTATATGGGCAGATGATACGCTCTTTTTTTATATGAACCAGCACCATTTTAACTGTTACATCTTATTTCTTAATGGTTCATTCTTAGTAGGGAAATTTAGTTGGAACAGGAGTCAGCTTTTCCAAAATTTCCTTGTGAACGAGGAGAGGAGCCAAATGAGTTCGTAAAATGCATTTGCAAAATAGAATTATTCACATGAATTCAATGTTTGTCAGCTTATTCATGTACTGTATCATGACAAATGGGGAGAAGTAACAGAAAATAAAGGCCTAGAAGTATAAAGAGAAGAACTAGTACAGACCAGAATGTGCAAAGGTGTCCCAAATGCTAGGACTCCTCCCATCCTCAGAAGCTGCGCCCTCATACTTTTGATAGAATGACAAAGAAACATTCATCAATTTTATTCAGGCAAAGTTTCAGATAGGAATTAGACTACTGATCCAGTGAAGAGATTGTTATTTGATTATCATTAAATACGAAGCAAAAGTACAATTTCAATGTTCCCACCAATTAAGCTCATTGTTATTTTGTTCCCCAAATCCCGTTGGACGTTCGTGAATTGATGGAAAGAGGTGTTAAAGAGGTTTGGAAGTTTTATGGCAGAAATTGGGCATTTGGAATCAATTTGGACCGAAACTCAAAGCCAGGGCACCATTGGAAGCGCTGCCGCCATCAATGTCCTACCTCCGGCCTAACGCTCGAGCGCCACGCGCCTGGCTCGAGGCTGCGGCTTTATATCCGGGAAAATTTTGTTTCCTTCTTTTGATGTGATTTTTTATCCTCTTTCCAACCATAACATATTCTTTTGGATCATATATATAGTCCACGTGATTCCTGGCTTTCATTTAACTTTGTATGAGTTAAAATCAAGTTAGAAATACAATATTTTGTATTCTTTCTCAATACTAATAAATTCTTCATTCCTCTATCAATTTTTTTTTTTTGTTATGATTGCTAATTCATATTGTATCATATAATCTCGTTTTTTTACTCATAACTAGTGGTATCAACATACATAATTCTTGTTCGGATTCCAACGCTAATATTTTCAGTTCCCTAGTAATTTGAGGTTAGTACAGAGACAAAATGAAATAAGGCCTTCTTTTTCCAAATTGCATAAACAAATATTTTCTTTTTATTGTCAAAATCCAAATATACTTGTTTCTTCTTTAACACTCCCTACTTCCGCTTCTTCTTTTACAGTACTCCCTACTTTTTCCTCACCCCCACTGGTTTTCTTATACACATCCCGGCTACAACCGCCACCATCCCCCATTCCCCCCTATTCCTACCTATCAGCTCGCTCTTCCAATTTGCATTTTCGATATTAAGACTTGGTGTACTATCTTTCAAGAGGAGTGTATATATATATATATAGTTCAATATTTAATCGGCTCGAAATTTCTCCCCAGACATCCAGAACCTCCCAAATTACTTCCTTGGTCCCAATAGCAACTCGAGATCTCCTTCGTAAGAAGGGAAGGGGGTTGTGTATTTCTACTTAATTGGAACTTATGAAGGCCTGGATGGATTTTTTTTGAGTGAGAACTTCAATGAATTTCGTAGATTTTTTATAGATTTGTATGGAATTAGAGGAAGAACTTCTATGGACTTTTATTTTAGAACTTTTATAAGCTTTTGTAGAATTTCAAAGATTTTTGAAAACTTTTATTTGAAATAGAATTTAAGTAGATGTAGTGCAATAGTGTAAAATTCGTACATACGAGATGGTGGTTCCGCAATTCCCCTTCTCCTTCTTCTTCCCCTACCCCGTTCACCCCCCATATAATAAAAAATTATTTTAAAAAATAAAAATTTAAGATCTTAATTAAATAAATAATAATCGAAATTATACATATATATGATAAAAAAAAATTAAATTTAATATTCAGAGGATAAATAAAAAACTAATATATTTAAAACTAATTATAAATTAATCTATATAAAATTTTATAATTTAATTAAAAATAGATATTCTTCACAAAAAAAGAATGAAATAAGAAAAGAAAAATTTATAAGAATCTAATTTAATTTTTTGCATAAAAAATAGAGATAAACAATAAGAGAAAGAAAAAGGAAAATAGAAGCAAGTATATTCGATAGAAAAAATAAATAAATTTTAAAGATAACTATAATATTCGTAAAATGGAAAATGAAAGAGAAATTTTGGAAAAGAAATTCCATATTATTTTTTACTTTTTTTTAAAGTCTCCCAAGATATTATGATTAATAAGAGACAAATTTTGAGAATTTATTTTGATACTTTCTACTTAAAAGTTAGTACTCTAGAGACTTTTATAAAAATATTTCTAAAAGTCGTTAAAATTTGAATACCACAAAACTTATAGAAATTTTTAAAAAATTTTAATTAAATACACCGTGACTTTTAGAAATTTTTTAAAAGTCTACAATGGAATCAATTGAATATACAAATACTTTTAGAAAGTCTCAAAAAATCTACATTGAATATCCCTAAATTTTTTAAATTCTAAAAAATCATTAAAAGTCTCAATTGAAAACACTCATAAAAATTGATTCTTCTCTTTTTTTCTCATTCTAGCACAAGAAAAAGCTTCACGCAGACACCAAGACTTTGAAAAATGGGTGCCGCTATTTCCATTCAACAATTTTTATATATCTATCCACTTTTTTAAAAAATTACATGTTATATTTTTAACCTCATTTAAATTTACTTAAATAGATAAGAATTGAATTTTGTTAACCCCGTCACAATAGGAGGCTCACACCCAATAAAAACATCGTGGGCCCCCTATTGTGAGGGGAGCTGTACAGCGAAGTGTCAACTTGGATGTACACATAGCAAAACTCGTAAGAATAATATTAAATAAATTCTATCACTTTAAATTCATGCACTAATATTTAGGAATAATTGTAGTTGCGTCCCAAATATTTCAGTTTTTTTTGTACGATTAAGTTAAATTGGAGTTTGATTTAGAACCTACTCGATTATAGATTTTGGGTTTTCAATCTAGATGTTCTTGATTGCAAAAGGAGGTGGGGAAGAAATAAAGAAATGAATATAATACTTTTTAATGGGGGTATTCGAGTGATTAAAACGAGGTTGAAGTATTGGGAATAAATTTAGTAATTTTTGAAATTATAATGGGGATAGATTTAGAATGTGATGAACATATAGAAGTAACGCGGATATATAGTGTTGAAATGAATATATTTAATAATGTTAATATTGGAATAAACATGGACGTATGTAGTACTTTTTATAAAATTTAAAATTTAAATAGGAATGAACTTAGAACGAAATAGATATATAAAAAGTGTGGATGCAAAAAGCAGTACCCTTGAAGAATTTGCATGTAATTTTACATATTTCTCTTATTTTTCACTGAATAAAAGTTCAAAACTGATGGAATTGTTTATAAACAGTAATTTATGTTAAATCAATTTCCCCAACCAATTATTCCAACAATCATTCACATAATCTAAGAACGAACAAACCGGAAAAAAAATTATAAAGTGCAACTAACTTGATAAGCAGAAGTTCCAGAACCAAAAACAAAGTCAGCCGGAAAATCCATTCTGCTATATTGATCGACGCCGTG